GAAGATGGCAACTGTTCTCTTCTTTTGTTATCACGCATCATACCTACGCCTGCATACTATTCTAGTAGTGGCAGCAACGGCCCTGCAGAGATGAGTTGACTGTACTCTGATGCATCCCAAGGGGGCGTTTCTGGCCTTTGAGAACCCCAAGCATCAGCGCCATCTTCGTGATTCATTCTTTCCGTGTCTCGCTTCTTTCCGATGTGTTCTCAATCACTGGACGAACAAGAAGGCATCAACAATCCACAAGAATTGCATTCTTCTGCTGCTTGCACATAGAAGATAGGGATGGCAAGCAACAGGTCAAAATAGGTGGCAGCTACTGACAACGAAAGGTGGCAACTGTCTTTATACACAAGTGGCAATTAATTTTTCCCACCCCCTTCATTCCAAAAATTGTCCTTCCCGCCCTTTTTTAGGGATTCCTACTCATCCATTTCATACCCAACTACTTGCGTCAATTAAACTATGAACTTAAGTTAATGTCAAACGTAGTACATGGCAGATCTGGTGTACTCTGCCTGGCAATTGCGAATATACACTAAACCATGCAGTGTTCTACCCCTATAGCATGGACCCAGTACAAGATCGGGAGATTTTCAGCCTTAAGGATGAGAAGGATGAGATCGGGAGATTTCACCTGGTTTCAGATGATCGTCTCTGGAGGGCTGGGTTGGAGTGGGGTGCTGGGGGTGGGGAGGGTTGGGGTGTGGTTTGTGGTGGGAGCGCCCTAAGGATCTGCCCTGGTTGCCATGGCAACCAAAGATGGCCGGCGACGGAGGTCGGGGTTCGAGAGGTGGGGGACGATTGCGGCAAACGAGAGAGGGGATGGATCGGAGGCCGGGAACGGCTGGGTCGTGCGGGCAGCGAGTCGTCTGGCCCGGACGGGGCAGGGTTGCCACACACCGGACGTGCGGGCCGTGCTTTTGTGCGCGCGTACGTGGTCGTGCGGGCCGGTTCCCGTCCATGCCACACGAGGCGTGCGGGCGGGTTCCTGTCCATGCCACACGTGTGGCAGTTATTCGGACCCATCAAAAAAAATGTCAAAATACTTAGAAAAATTACTAAATATTTTCTCCATTAGACAACACTTCACATAGCTTCAATTTAAGGGAAAGTAAGAGTACTACTGAATTATACGTAGTTCAGAGGATTTGTAGGTAGTACATCTCTTTTTGCCAATTACGTCCAGAAGCGAACCATAGCAAGCAAAGACATCCTCAATTCTTCAGTGATATGTGTGCGTTCATCAGCATTCCGTGGATACCTCGATGGGTACTTCATCTCGGGATCCAAGACACCACAGCGCAGACATATCTTCGTCTTGTCATGCAGAGATATCTCTGCCATATTAACCGCATGTTCCATGACACACCAGATGAATCGCACAAAGATGTCGTCAGGTTGGAAGCCATAGATGGTGAGCTTAACTAGATTCTAGTGCTTGAAGTCAGGGAGGGATGCCTTCCACTCCACGTCTTCCTTTTCACAAAAATCATTGTTCTTCCGGAACTCTTTGTCTCTCGTCACCATATTGCACCAATGATCCAAGACTGTGATACAGAGCTCTTTTAGGGACGGTGCAGCTTCAAAAATAAACATTGTCCAAGCTAAATCACATCCTTCAGAAAGATTGTCCAGATTCACCTGCTGTAGTTAGCTGAGAACAGGTCTGAGAAGCTTCGGGCTTTCTGGCAGAACCCAAATCTTAGAAAGAAAAAACAATTTAAAAACTGAGTGCAAGTTGCATATAAATCACATTCTCAACTGGCGGAGAAGACCAACTTAAGCTACTATTGTTACTCCCTCCGTTCCATATTGAGTGTCGGAGTATTACATATAACCATCCATATGG